CCCCATGGCCGCTTCTCCATTGGCGCGGTCTCTGAGATGACAAGCAGCTGAGGAACCACGGCCGCGGTGTTGTTCGCACATTCGGTGGTTCCGTAGGTGTACCGGTGGGTAGGTAAAGGGTTCAGCCTCTCGTCTCAGCCTCCTACCGTGAGATTTCCTCCACCACCACCCGCCCTTCTTCCTTGGGTGCTCTCCCCCCGCTCCTTTCCCCTCCACGCGAGACATGGTTGCCCGCCACCGTCTCCCTTTCTTCACCACCTACGACCCCGCCGGGTGCGCGTGATCTGGGAAAGGGGAAGAAAGTCTCCACCGGCCTTCAGTCCGGAAAGCTCTCCGACAAAAGACAAACGCACCTCAAAAGGGACTTGCGTACAGTAAGACATCCGGCCGCTCGGCCCCAACCGTGAAGCCTGCCTACCTTCCTTCCTCCGGTCCAACCTCCGTTATCTCTCGCTCTCGCCCGCGTTCCAATAATCGTCTCCCCGGGCATATGCACGCAGAACATGAAACTCACGCTCTGAGTCACGGTACAGCAGGCGCTTAACGCTGCAGAAACAAAAGTCTTTTGTTCACTTTGAAACGTGGATCCCACCTTCTTCTTCTTCTTCTTCTTCGCCGCGGAGCTGGGACCAGTCGTTCATGGTGCTTTTTCTTCCTTTGCTTTTGACATCGTATACACAGAGTAATGAAAGTTGACGTGTTCGCCAAGAACAAGCCACGTTTGTGGATGCGCAGTAATCGCCAGGTTGTCTGGGTTCCGCAGGCCCTGATGTTAGTGGATCTGGGTTGGGTATATAGCGTGCAAGTTTGTTCGGTTCAGCGCCGGAATAATGGACGGTGGTGGACGTGGTTGGTGATACCCACGAGATATGCGGTATGACTTCTGTTTTGGACATGCTTTGGTCAGGAAGAAAGAGGTGGCGACTTGATGGGTAGGCGCGTCTTTGCGGTCACGAGCTTGATACCGGGCTCGTGCTGTTTGAGTCATCCGTTCTTCGGTTCATGGCTGCTGCGCAGATGTTTCGGTCTCTCACGATGTTGCATTGCGCTTGGACGTTGCCCTTTGGCTTTCTTTTCCCGGGTGACGGGGAACGTGGAGCGGTTTCGTTTTGTTTTGTCTTCAGCTGGACGGGGGTGGTGAAGATGGGGGGGAAAGGAGGGGAAAGAGCAGGGAGGACCTCTTTGGTTTTTCCTTCCCGAAAGTCTCACTCTGCTACAGCGCCACCTTTATCATTTCTTCTTCCTTTACCGCTCCAGCGGAAGAGGTCTGCCGAAAGCAGAAGAAGAAGAAGAAAAAAAAGCAAACACCGAGGGTTTTCCCCAACGCCACAGCATGTACGACGCCGTTTGCAGTCATGTCGCAGAAGAAACCGGGCGCGGGAGGGCCAGTTGTGGCTGGCTGCTGTGGATGGTTGGTGTCGGCCGGACTGCGTCGATGCTACCCTTTCGCTGGCTGTCAGCTCTGGTTGGCAAGCTGTCCGTCTCACGTGCGCAAGAGGCGGCCGAGGCAAGTACCCGTCAATAGACGCACAAGAGGGGGAGCCGAACGGTACTCGCACAAGGCGAGGGGAGGAGCTTTTTTCCGCCTCGTTCCCCTTGTGCACTTGCCATCCTTTCCCGCTATAGCGCCCCCACGGCATATAGCTCTCTCTGCCTGCCCTGCCCCCCGCCCGTGCAGTGCTACCGCGCGCTTATCTGATCTTCAACCTCGGGTCCGGAGAAACGGTAGACGGACGTCCGTGTGTCTCGACTGCTGCTGCTGCTACTCCTCAAAGCGGTGATACCATGCTCTCTCCTCCCCGGCCGCAAGTTCCTCTCGTCCTCCTCGTCTTTCCCATCCGTCATACCTTCGCTGCGAGCAAAGAAATGCGACCGTGTCACCTTTGGCCATGTCCACGTAAAGCGCGCGTTCCACCAGCAGACCCATGGCGTACAGCGGACGGCATGAGGTGCCTGCTGCCTGTAATGAGCGCGTTGGCTCCGGCCGGCCCGGCCCCCGTTCAGACACACCTCTCTCCGTTCTAGACCGAACCATGTCCAAAACGGGAGGTGTTGGTGTACCAAATCTCAAGCGCAGAGGAAGGCAGGCAGGCATCATGATCCTCCAGCACATCATCTATGCACTTTGCGCGTTCTAGGCCGCCTCCCGCGCCTACATCCTGTCGATCCCTGCCGTTCCGGAGCGCTGGTTGAGCCGCTTCCGGGGGGTGGATCGGTGACGCAAGAGGTGGCCGGGGAGGGACGAGAAGGATTCCTTGTGCTACCTTTGTTTTTTTGTGCTGCGAGAGGGTGGCAGGGGTGCAGGAATAGACTTTGATGTCAGACGGTGCGGAGATAAAGCGGGTGCATGCAGATGCATACGGTATTTACTCAACGTGGGATTTGGCTTATTGGTACTTTCAGACATTAGATATCTATTGCTGATCACGCCGGGCGGGCACTTGGCCAGACCGGACTGGGAGGCTTGCGCGGCGGTGGGTTCTCAGAGAATGACGCTAGTTTCTTACAAGCACTGTGTGCATTTTGATAGAATATGATATGGAGATGTATGCATGAATGGGTGAGAGTTGCATGTCATTCAGACTAATTTCAACATTCCATCAGGGGCTTTTGGCACCGTGATTGAGCAAAGATGGCACTACTTTCTTGAAGCTTCGGGCTTCTGCAGCTGCAACAGCAGTGTACTCACGATGTCGTCACCCAACAGAGGGGGGGAAAGTTACCGACCCGTCTATGTCCAAGCTCGAAATCTTTGAATTCGTGGCGAGGATAGCTTGTATGTCCCTTGGCTCGCATGTGAAGATGTGCTTTTCTCCGAGTACGACATGTCTTATTTTGTTGACCAGCCATCCTTCTCGCTTGCTGACCTTTGCCATAAGCTCCACCAATAAGCTAAGAGTCGGTATTTATTGAATTTAGTTCCTAGGCATGATCAGGCAATGTGTAGAATCTGCCGACTATAAGAATGTAAAGAAGTCGAGAGTTAAAAGAGTGCAACTTTTATACTGGATCATGTGCCGCTATCGAGGCCTTCTAACCCTGGACATAAACAGACGAAATTAGGATCATGGTAGAGCAAGAGTAAGGGTCTGGTTCTTCCAGGCGTTTGGAAAAATAGATATCTACTTTCAGCCACTGGATACTATGTCCTCAGATTCTTAGGTGGTGCGCATCAGACGAACGAGAAAATTCAATATATATAGAGCAAGGTCAGTTATACGCTTCTACCACTGGTTATCCATTCATCACTGACATGGACAAGATGCTCAGATGATCTTCCGATTGATTGTGCTGGTACTGTCTCGTTTGACCAACGCTCGGAGAAATGCCTCGATCTACTGCAGACATGGTTCCCAGAGTGCTGCAGCATCCATAGACGAAGTTATCAGCCAGCGTCATCTCGATCGCTACCAAAAAGCTACATGTTTACCAGCCCAAGGGTGGAATGAGAAATACGCCACTCTGAGCCACTGCTGGAAGGTGTTGTCCCTTTCAGGACGACGAAGAAGAGCACTAGTAGCTTGCGGGATGAGATGCAAGAAACGGATCTTCCCAAGTCATTCCGTGATGTAGCTACTAATGGCTCCTCTATTCATGTGTAGCGGAAAAGCCTCGGTTTGCTACAGGGATCAAGCTTCAGGCTCGAGCAGAGGCGCCTCTCAAACCGCAACACCACGATGCGTATAAGCAGGAGCAAGTGAAAACATTAGTCTGTCTTTGCTGAGGGAGAAATTGAATCATCGGGAGCCGCCGAGCCGGGAACGGGAGCTTGCATCCGAGACTAAATTTTAGCGTTGCCGGCCCCAACGCCACGGAAGCGCGGCAGTACTCGGCCACAACTTATTATTGTCAGCACAACCTCGAGGGAACTTGGACATGCTGCTCGTGCAAGACACAATTTCTAATCCAGGCACAGCCCGTCATCGGCGCACAAGTCGCAGCGAGGGCGACGCAAACATTGGGGCCAGATGGGGGGGCGAGGGAGTGTGGGCAAGCGACGCCCGCTTGCTGACCTGCAGCAGCTGCGCACCTCGACTCACCTCGTCTCATCAACTCACTCTCCACTCGGCAGCCCTCAGCACCCACTGCACCAGGCCGCAGCTTGCTGTCCGCCCTCAATGACACGTCCCGCAGCTTCGTGATTCCATCCACAAGGAGCACAGAAAAGCAGGACCGCCTGCCTGCCGTGCCCGTACTCTCGCGACACGAAACCTCGGACGCGCCCACGTAGCTCGCCCGCCCGCCCGCGACGACGCTGACGACGCCCATCATGCCGCCCAAACGCTCCTTCACCGACGATTACGCCAGCGGGCCCAACCAGTCGCCCACCTCGTCCACCTTCCTCCCGCCCAAGCGGCGCAAGACGTACACAGGCGGCGTGAATGACTGGCGCCGCCCGTCAGCCTCGCCGCGCGACGGCTGGTGGGGGGTCCCCGAGTCCGAGTGGGAGCGCATGGCACCCGCCATGAAGATGAACTGGACCCACGTCGGCCGCATCATGGAGACGGAGGAGGGCGAACCCGCGCCCGAGCCCTGCGAGCAATGCCGCGACGCCGGCGACCCGCGCGGCTGCTGGGTCTACTCGCGCGAGGCCATGCGCCGCTACGGCTTCAAGACGCACGTCTGTGCCCGCTGTCGCGCCACCGCGAACGTGTGTTCGCTTAATGTATGTGTGACATTCTTTCTTGTCGCAAGAGCGGGGAGCAAGACCGACGCTTGTCGGCACTTGGAGACGTGACAGCCGAACTGCTCCTCCCTCCTCCTGCTACGTGAAACCCCGCAACACCATGCTGATGCTCGCGGCCGCGGCACAATAGCCGTTTTTCAGAAACAGCGTCGGCCTGCGGGACAACCGCCCGCCGCCCGACCACTCGCCCTTCCACCACTCCGGCCCGCCGCCGTCAGGCGGAGGAGGAGGAGGAAGTGAAGGCCGGCACCGCTTCCCCAGCCCGGGCCCGCCTCCTCCCCCAGACCACCACCGCTACCGCTCGCCCACGCCGCCGAGCGAGCGCCACGGCCGCGGCTGGCCCCAATCGCCAACCGCCAAGCGCCACAGCTTCAACTCCTCCCTCGACGAGCAGCAGCAACAGCACCAACAACAACAATCGCGCGAACGATACCCCCCACCAGACCAACGCCGCATCTTCGCCTCCCCCAGCGGGCACCACCCCCACCCCCACCACCAGCACCCCCACCAACGACGCCCCGGCCACTCCCCCACCCCGCCATCACCTCCTCCTCACCACCGCAGCCACAGCCACAGCCACAGCCACAGCAACAGCCACACCCACAACCACAGTCACAGTCACAGCTACACCACCACAAGCCGCTCCGCCCACCCCCACCCCCACCACGGGCACCACCCAGCGGAGGGCCTCCCACCTACCGACCCGCCACCACCACCACCGCCACCATCACTGGTGCCGCTCACGCTCGAAACCCTCGCGGCGCGCCTCGAGCTGCTCGAACAGCACGTCTCGGCGCTGCGCAAGGACAACGCGTCCGTGCGCGAGGAAAACGATTTCTTCCGGTGGCGGCTGGCGGAGCTGGAGGCGCCGCTGCTGCGGCGGGAGCAGCAACGGCGGCGGGAGCAGCGGCAGGGACAACAGCAAGGGGAGCAGGAAGGGGAGCAGCGGCAACAGTCGTCATCGACGTCTGGTCGCGGCGGCGTCGCTGCAGATGCTACTGCTGCGTTGGGTGTTGGTGAGGATGTGGTGATGGCGGAGGATGGGGAGGCGGTGGATGTCGATGCCGATGCTGACAGGAAGCCGCCGGTGGTGGTTGGGGTGCAACACCAGCAGACGGGGGCGGGCACGGATCAGCAGCGCAGCGCGAGCAGCCGGGCGGTGGAGACGTTGGTGATGGAGGAGAGCATGGCGTCGAGCTTGCGGGAGCAGATGGAGGCGGAGATGAGGCAGAGGCAGCAGTTGCAGCAACTGCAGTTGCAGCAGCAGCAGCAGCAGCAGGAAGAAGAGCGGGAGCGGGAAAGGCAGCAGCAGCGGCGGGAGGAGGAGGAGAGGGAGAGGGAGAGGGAACGAGAGCGGGAGCGGGAGCGCGAGCGGGCGGAGATGGCGGCGGAACGGGAGAGGGAGAGGGCGGAGGAGAGGGAGCGCAGGGAGAGGGAGGAGGCGGAGCGCGAGCGGCAGCGGGCGGCGGTGGCGGCGGAGCTGGAGGGGTTGCGGGCGGAGAACGAGGCCCTGGGGAGGAAGGTAGCGGAGCTGGAGAAGGGGCAGGACGTCACGGTGAGGGTGCTGAGGGACATGTATTATGCGCTGGATTGAGGATGCGCCCGGTGCTGGGTGGGATAGATGGAGGGGTGGGGGTGGGTGGCCGGCCGGCCGTACTCGTAGAGGGAACGTTCGGGCTAGGATTGGAAGGAGTTTGGATAATGATTGGGCTTTTTTGCATGGAGTGCGTGCTATGGTGTCTATGCAGTACCGGATGCTGTGTCCATGCTCGACGGGGAGCGAGCGGCTCCTGGTTACGGCGTCCCAACATCGGATGCGATGCGATGCGGTGCAATGCGATGCAGAGATGCATTGATGACAGAGGAGCTGCGCCACAAGGGCATGAGGATGCACGGGCACTAGTGATGGCCATGACGGGGCCTTTTTGCCAGGTAATCGATGCCCTTCAGTCCGCATTGGAGGGGTACGGGGGGCAGCGAAAAGCGTGCCAGACGAACACCACGCTACCCTTCCTTCGCGCTTCTTCCCATGGACCGCTATGACCAACAGAAACAATTCGCTTCTAGCAAAAAAAAAACCCCCCCCCCCCCACTAGTTCAGCCAGCGTGCTGAAAACAAAACATGCAGGCTTTTTTTTTTCTTGTGGAAAAAAAAGCCACCGGATCGAGAATCAAAGAGCATATCGACGATGTTTATACTTTCTGGGTTCGGACATCCGGCCCGGCCCAATCACGTTCGCCCGCCCGTGCTTGCCAGTCGGACGGGGGCCTCGGAAGTCAAGGGAGGGAGATCGGTGGTGAGGGAGGGATGCGGGAACTAAAAAAGTCACCGTCGGTCCAGATCGGCCGCACTACGGACACCCTGCACCCCCGGCCGGCCAGCTCGCGGAGAGGGGAAGTGCCTCCATTCCTTCTGTATCGCGAGGGTGCGTATAGTGTATGTGTGTGTGTGTGTGTGCGTGTGGCAGGAGAGGACGGGATTTCTGCCGGACGGGAGGGATTGCGCGACGGCCGGCCGGCAGGCAGGCATGCGCCGGGGGGTAGGTCTTTGCTTCGTGGAAACGTCACCGGGTGTCTCATGACTGCCCGATGGGGAAATTTTCGTTTTTCAAATTTTTTTTCTTCTCTCTCTCTCTCTCTCTCGCACGCGCGTCTGTTTTTTTTTTTAGGCTCCTCTGATTCAATATTTTCGTGTCATAAGACCTCGGATCACGGAACCGATGAAAAACGAAGGCTGCGAATGCGAAAGGCATGTTCCGGGTTTATCGATATTGGGGAGTGCGTTTTGGTAGCCAGTCCGTGTGGTGGTATGACTGTACTACCACCCCATCGCGCCGCAGGTACCATGCTCACGTGGGAACGGTTTCTTCCAACGTAGAGGGATCTCGGCAAACAAACATGCCACCATCGAAGGCATCAGCCGAACGGCTGTCAGACGCGGCTGCTTCCCTATGCTCTCGCTTTTCGGCTTTCGTTTCGCATGTCTCTGGTGGCAGCCGCTGCAAAGCGAGCAGTCAGGTACATACATGAGCCAGCCACCTTTGATTGTCTTTGCTGCGTTTTTTGCCACCCATCTCATGGACATAATAATAGTGCTGCCTGCTGGTGCTCTCTCCAGTTTCACTACCCGCCAGGGTCCCGAATGGTTGGAAATAGAAACGAAAATATTGTCTCCCGGCAACTGCCTTTTTTTTTTGCGCATTGCAAGCAATGTCGATCGCCGTATGCACACACACGCACACTACTCACACACCCATCTTCCATTGCCCCCCGTTTCGCTTGTCTATGCGCTTTTTGCCACAAGGGCGGGTTGGGCTGAAAGGCCACGCGGTTCGTTGCATGGAGAAGGCCGCATGTATGGTAGGTAGGCGATCCGGCTGAAGCCGAAGGGTCGATCTCAGCTGAAGAACAAACAGGGGCATTTCTGCATGCATTTTCTCGATAGCGGTGAAGAAAAAGTTTAGGGCAGAAACCACCGTCCGTGGTGGCGAAAAAAAAAGGGAATACGGAATAATAGTGGTCAAGCGAATCAGCAAGGTTTGTTAAAGATAGGCAGTAAAAGAAGAAGGCCAAGGTCTGGTTGGTCGGCGCGGACGCAAGTGGGAAGGATCTTCCCACCGCGCGACGCATGTATGTGCGTGTGGCTGACGCGTTGCGAGCTGAGACGGAGCCCGCGCGGTTGGGCAGGACCGGATTTGTTTCCAACCGAAAAGCTGGGTTTTTTTTTTTGGCGATTTGCGGTTTCTTGCCAATTGGCGGCAGGGGATCAGTGGGTGGTGAAACTGCCGATGGCTGTCCTTTGGCGCGGGCGGCGCTACCGCATTACACGTGCCTTGTGTGGGGTTTCGGCCACGCCGCCGCCGTGTGTGGCGCGGATAGTGGGGCGGAGGAAGAGGGGAGAGGGTGAAGAGGGGGGGGGGGGGGGGGGGGGGGGGGGGGGGGGGGGGGGAGAGGGACGAAGGGCAGCGATGGGCAAAACCTAGTGACGCATCCGCTTTCCCCATGTAGTAAGCCTCGGCTCTTGCTTTTTTCGGTCCTGTCACGTATCGCTGCTGCGCTGTTACGGCACAGCCACGGCTGCTGCGCCTCGCTAACGTGCGCGCGTGACTGGTCGAGCGGCCGTAACGTTTCGCGAAACTTCCAGCTGCCCCTCGCAGCTCTGGCCAGTCAGCGCCCCAGAAGTGCGTACTGACGACGGACATGTTACGAAAGACCCTTGCTTTCTGCCGCCTTTCCCCTCCCCGTCCGTTTCTGTCTACATGCATGCATATTTTTTTTTGCCCCATGCATGTGAAGTTTCCCAACGGCTGTAAATCGAATCACAGACCCGATAGCAAGCCATGCTGATAGACGTAGGGACGCAATGGCATCCCCAGTGTCGGGAGAAGAGAGGCTGTGCAGTCGGGGGCAAAAGACAAAAAAAGATGGCAGTACGCAGCACGTTACGGTGTGTTTTATGGCCGCTGATCCGAGAGGGCTCAAAACACATACGAGACGATAGCAAGGCGTCGAATCGCAAGCAAACGGATCAAGAGCCCTGGAGCCCGACTCCGTACTAGTAGCCCTAGAGGGTACACCGCAAACGTGGAGATGGGGCGCGCAGGGCAGGGCAACAAGGAAAACATATGATTCGCAAGACTACTTGTCATGAGTAGAGTGCGTGCGCACGGAGGGCAGTCCGACTGCTGGCTGTCAGGGAGACCCACACCACAAGAGCTACACGCGCCCTTCCCGACTCCGCGGCGGCTGGGAAGCACTGGACTGGGAAAAAGTGGAGCGATTGACATTAATAATGATGATGATGAGCGAAGCGACGAAAAGAAGGGGACACGGAGAGGGGACCAAAAAATCCAAGTGCGCGCGGGAGAGCGGGCCGAAAAGGGGTACGGGCGGGCTGGGGAGCCAACAAAAAACAAGATCAACAGACAAGTCCAGCCCGCGCCGGAAAGTGGAAGGAGCAGCAGAGATGATGATGAGGCTCTGTGCTGCCTCTCCCCCCTCTCTTTCCCTGAGCCATGGTGAGAGCCGCAAGCGGAAAAGCAAGGCACGAACAGAAGATCATGCATGGGGATAAGCAGGTTTTGCGTCACCATACCCCATCATGCACATGACCTGCGAGGATCTGTCTCGGGGAAAATGGGGGAGAGGGGGGGCATGGTCACGATATCGGCTCCACTGATGCAATCTCAGTGTTGGCACGCGTGTGCGAGCAAAAAGTTGAATCTGCCTTCAGCCTGAAGGAAGGGTATAATGACACATTTCGCTAATCGAGTAATCTGCTACAGCCAAAATCCAAAAATCACCAGACCTCTGTCCACTTATCCAGAAACACCTGTGCAAAAGACCCGCCCTGTTGGTACAGTCGATAGAAATCCAGCCGCCCACCATCTGAGTATCAACTGAGAACACCGTTCCGCCCTTGCGCAACCAACCAAACACCAAACAAGAAAATAACAGCAGTGATGAGACAGTTTAGAAGTGAAGGAAAATCAAGCAGAGAACAAGTACACAATCTTTTGGTGCTTGAGACATGAGATGATGATACAGGAAGACACACGTCTTCCGTCGCTAAAATAAATAGTTTTTTTTTGTGGTGTAGCACTCTTCCAATCGTCGCAGTTCGTCGTAGCGGTAACACGCTTCAGATCCGTCGTCATCCTTCTCGTCATGCAGGGTGTGGTATTAATACAACCGTAGTAATGGTAGCCCCGTTCTTGCTTGCTCGCTTGCTCGAAAATCAATAAATCCAAACTTAAAACCACAGAGATGACCGGCCCCGCTCTTGACAAGCTTGATAGTGACGCTCAACGCCGGGAAGAGATGATAAGCACAAGGAGATAAGAGAAGAGAAGCATGCTCGCGCGCGGAGTGATATCAGAAAATCGCAATGGCTCGATGCGGAAACAACGCCAGCCGCGGCAGTCGCGAAACGGCGATCAGGGTGGTGCGCGCGCGTCTGTTCGCATCGCATATCGCATCATTGTCGCGTTGCACCGGGCGTGCAAAGCAATGTGAGACAAACAAATCCAAGCCGGAGCTAGGACATGCAAGCGACGCAGCGGGTGCGGATCTCACGAGACGATGATGTCGTCGGCGAAGGCCATGCGCCAGAGCGCGTCCGAGGTATGTGGTCGTCGACGTCGTGTGCGGAGATCATGACGCAGGCCTAGCGCGTGGAAGCGAGCGCCTATGACGCGTTGGAGCTCCATCTGGGCGGTCGGAAACTCAGTTGCTCCAAGCTGTGCGAGGGAGCGCGGCTCCAGGATCCGAAGGCTCGGGCAGCCGACTCGTCGCTGCATCACCCATCAGGGCATGTCGCAGAGAGCAGGAATAACGATGCTCTCCTGGGCCTGCCTACTCGTAGGAGCTGCCGCCGCCGCGCCTGCGGTGCTTGCCGGGGAAGTCGACCTCGGGGTGCACCACGCGCATGTGTCTGGTGAGGGCGTCATTGCGGCTGAACGTCTTCTCCTCGACGCACAGCGCGCACCGCACCTTCTGCTTGCGGCAGTTGTGGATCGTGTCCTCGTGACGCGTCAGGTCGTAGGGCCGCGAGAAGATTGTGTTGCACGGCTTGCCCGTCGTCGGGTTGACGCGCTCGCACTTGTGAGGGCCCGCCTGCGAGTTGCGAGCCAAAAGCTGGGCTGACGTCATCCCGGATCCCACTCCAGGAGTCGGGGGGTGCGGCCTGTGCCCGTCGCGCTTGTGCTTTTGCAACTTCTGCGGCGTCTCGAACCGGAGCGAACACCCGTGGTACGTGCACGTGTACGTCCCCGTGTCGGCGTGCAGGTTGTCCGGCCTCTGCACCGGCGTGCTGCAGTCGTCGTTGCTGGCCTGCGACGACTCGGGCATCTCGCTGGCGCTCGAGTCCATCGATGTGAGCTGCGGGTGGAATTGCGGGTTCTCGTCCTGGCCCGAGCTGGGCACGCTCGTGACTGATCGGTACGGCGTCGCCGTGTTGGTGAAGTTGAGACTGTGCATCACGTTCGGCACCGACGGCGCCACGAAGTTGAAATTCGACTGCGGTGGCGAAGGCCCGGAAACCGATGGAAAGTTCGTCGCCGCCTGTCCGGTCCAGCTGCCGCCTTGACTTGTGGCTGTGCTTCCATACGATACCTCCGAAGAGCCGTCGTAGTGCGTCTGGTCGCCACTCGTGTATGAGTGGTCGTAGTCGTTTCCGCTGGCTTCAGGGAAGAGCGGCATCTTCGCGTCCTCTTCCGATTCGTGGTAGTCCAGCAGCGCATCCTTGGGGGAAATCGTCTTTGGCTCGGACATGTCCGGCTGGCGCTGGCTTCGCTGAAGCGCATACGCGTCAGCCTCGGCCTTCTGCTGCTCGCGCAGCTGCTGGGCGCTGCCTAGCCGGACCTGCGGTGACGCGAACGAGTTGTTCGGCGGTGCAAGTGGCGAACCCTGTCTGAATGGGGAAACACCACGCGACATGGAGCTGACTGGCGACTGCGAGCGGGCTTGGTGCGCGGCCTGCAGCCTGTCGTTCATGACGTTCCGGAAAGGGGAGAGGAGGGCGTTGGAAGGCTGCTGCGACGACTGCTTGGCTGGTGCTGGTGCCATGGCGTTCGGGTTGAACAGCTCATCTGCGTAGATATCCGTCATGGTGCGGTCAAGTTTAGGAACTGGCCGGATGTCTGCGTCGTCGGGGTATTGTAAGTATTCATCGATCCAGTTCTCCACCCGTGGGAAGCATTTCTCACCATTGGTCGGCACCTTGAAGCGGTCGTCGCTGTAGTCTTCCTGGGCGTTGTGAGGAGTGGCGGGCGAGTCGGCGCCATAACTCGAGACCGACTGTCTGGACGAGTGTCCGAAGTCGGGGCAGTTGCCATCGTTTCCGGCTTGATGGTGCTGGTCCATCAAAGCCTGTTTCATGGCCATATGTGCTGCCATGCCTCCGTCGTGGACGTGCATGTTGTTGAAGCTCGAGTAGGTGTTGGCTTGGTTGAAGGTATCTTGAGTGGGAGTGTGTGAAGGAGTGGGCAGGTGGTTCGAGAAAGTGCCCGAGATGTCTTCGGCGTTATATGATGACTCAACTTTGGGAGCCTGTGGTGTCGACGGATGTTGCTCGGAATTGGGGTAGTAGTGGAAAGCAGGGTTGTATCCGGAAGTGGCCGAGACGTTGGAGCCGTTTGTCGATGACGAGGGCGACCGCTGATGAGTGCGACGGCTGTTCTTTATCGCAGAAGAATGGAGGGTCGAGGGCGCGGCGTTGAGCTGGCCGTTGTTTGCGAATTCCCAGCCCAGTGCGTTTGCACCCGTGTCCATCATCAGATTGGCGGTCGGGTATGTGTTGGGCAGCTGGGCACCCGCGGTCGACTGCTGTATCCGAACGGACGGGTTGGAGAAGTCGAATGAGGTCGTCATGTACTGATCGGCAAACTGATTTGCGTCGGGCCTGGAGGTGGTGGGAAGGGGTGTCGAGGATTGTTGTTGCTGGAAGTAGTTGCGCAACGCTTTGTCGTTTTGAAGTTCGGTAGGAGAGGGGACGGAGGCTTGGTGGTGGAGGTGGGAGAGGTAGTTGAGATGGGAGGGGGTTGGTGATGGTAGGCTAGGAGAGTTGGCGTGTTGACGTCGTGGATAGCAGGCTAGCATGATGTAGGCGGGACGTCTTAGTGGGGACCGGACCGGGTCAGGGACGGGTGGCGAATATAAGGGAAAGGCCAGTAACCACCTGACTCAGATCGGACCGGGCTTAGGAGGTGAGGTGATCAGGTAATGGCGCGGTGGAATGCCGTCGAAGCCGGTCTTGGATCGCGTTCGCCGGTCGGGGTTTGCGGTAGCAATGCAGAATCGTGTGTGCGCCAAGCTCAGTTGGGGAGAAGAAGCGGGTGTTTGAAGGCGCCGAACTTTAAGGGCGTGCTGGCAGATGGGGCTGCCGGGAGGAGACAAAAGCGCTGCCCTCTCACAGTCGGTGGAATGCTCTGTTGCGTCATGGCTTGGCCAAGGATTCTGGAAGTCAACGATCTGCGCACGGCCGACCGCGCCTTCCCTGTGCCTTCCCTGTGCCATTACGCAACGCACGGCCCTCCACTACCCTGCATTCGGGCCCGCTCGCTGCCGATCGAGGCCCTGCGACGCTGCAACCTCCCCCATGCTCAGAGTTTTCGCGCCCGCGGATTCGCTGCCCACCTCCGCGCTGCCCCTAGATCTGACCCTCCGCCGTCCTGCTCCGACGCCCCGTTGCACTCCAGCCGAAACTAGCGCCTTGCCGGATCGCGGCAGCGCTCGCAGCCCTCGCAGCCCTCGCACTCGAGACGCCCCGACGCGCTGTGTCGCTGCTCGCTTGATACCCGGCCGCGCTGCGCCTCGCCGCGACACGCACAGGGGCTTCGGGACGCTGTTGAGCCGCGCCCAGACGACGCCCCGGCCGCGTCGCTCGCGCCGACCGATTGGTGAGCCGGACGCAATGGATGCCAAACGCCGTCGGCTGCCACGGCTGGGAGCGATCATACGTCCGCCCCGGGCGCCGGCGTCGCGTGATCGCCCGCCCTTTGTCCACCTGCCAATGGACCTGTCAACGGATGCTGAACCAGCGGCCGTGAGCCCGTGTGTGTGGGGACTCGGGGAGCTGCTGTGGCTGGTGCCTCTGCCACCACTCGTTCGGCGTCGCCGCCACTCCGCTTCCCTTGTTGTCGGCGGCCAACCACGAGGTCCCCGGAACGAGCAGTCCAGCAGTGAGACGCGAGCTGCACTCGACGGCCAATCGGCACCACGTCTCCATCTCTGGCAGCCACGCAGCCACGCGGCTCTGGCGCTGCCAAGCGGGCGTCTGCAGCGGGGTGAAGGCTGACGCGGGCACGCTAGATCCCGAGCACTGGAGATGCGCTTATCGATGGTATTCTAATCCACAAAGTTCGCAGCCGGATGAGTCAATATGCGGATATTTTTGGCATTACTCATGATTGGTAAACAGCCATCTCTTGTGTCCACGCCTGCAAGGTCGAGTCGCCCGTGTGCATGTTGACTCGAGCCGGGCGCAGAGTTTGCAGTCACACCGGCACCCGGCAACGCGGCCTGGGGAACAGACATCGTACGAGCGCAGCAGGTGAGAAAGGCGCGAGCGGTGTCTCCACGCTCAGCTCACGCCGTCTAGCCGGTTGTTGGCGACCAAGCGGGCACGCGGACGGGCCGCGGGTATCTGTGCGCCCCGGTGAATTTTTTTTTCTCAGGGTCCAGCCGTGTGGCCGGGCACACAGATGCAGATCCAGCAGGACAGGGTTCTTACTGCGTACACACAGCAGGCAGCGGGCGTTGAGGCTCGCACGGTTGCGGCTGCGCGCGTGCGCTGGCATGCAACAGACCCGCACCGAAGGATCAGGAACCGGAGAGCTGCGAGCTGCGAGCGAACGCCAGGTGGTCAGCGCAAGAGGCCGAGATGCAGTCCCGTTGTCTCCTTGCAGAGCGGGAGGCCAGTGGCTTGCAGGGAGCAAGCGTGGCTGTGTGCGTCGTAGGGCTGTTTAGCGCGAGTGCACCCGGCCGAAAGGACGCAAGCGCGCGGGCATGTCCGGACGCTCCAGCCGGGGTGTCCGGGGCCCGAACAAAGGCCACCCTATCGCCGGGCAGCCTCAGCAGCACGATGCCCCCGAACCCCCGGTCGGACCCTTCCAGATCCCTTGGATAACGCCGAGTCATTCCGGCTCTGCAACCACACGAGGAAACACCGCGGAGAAACGGGCCTGGATGCAGCTATTTTTTCTTTTGTTGAGTTGTAGCCGCAACACAACACCAAGACCAGGCGCACCACGATGGAAAAGGGGCCTGGAGCCATCTAAGCCACTGCGGTATCGGTGCGGGCAGCAGCGGCATATCGGCGCAGTGGTGCGCGCGTGAGTTGGCCTGCACCATTCTCCGCATGCCAGGTCACCCCCCTCCCTGCAGTGCTCAGGAGGGGTCCAAGGGAGGTCGGCCAGAGAGACCTACTACCGTTATTAGCAGGTTGCGCCAGCAAGGGCCGGCGTCGACTATCGAGTCCGGTGAGCGTGATTCGCAACGAGCGTGCCGTTAGCCATGTGCGCGGCGAAGGCTATTTTTGCGCCCCGCCGTGGGCATCCCTGGGCTGTTATCTATCGTACTTTTAAGCATCAAATGCGACATCTCAGGGTCCAGCGGGGTGGCAAATCTCTGTCTGTATCGAACCACTGCCGACCGTTGACCCGATCTCGGCATTGGAACCACAGCACCAATAGTGAGGCGGGGTGGGCTGCAGTGCGGGACTGTCGGCGGGGCATGCCAAATTAGCTCGACACCTTCCGGGGCGGCAACGCGTATAGCCCGGCTCTGTATAGACGGTTGCCGCCCCGGAAATAGCAGCATACTGTCACGAACACACGAGATGGTTGATGCGTAAGCGAGCTGCACGCGGCTTGCACCTAGAGTCTGCGTCGCGTCGCTGTTGGCCAATTCCCAAGCCTCGCAGCACACGCTGACAGCCTTTAGTCGAACACGTTTTGAAATCAACGATGTCATCGCGCATGGGTCCTCTAAGGGTCCTGAGTCGCCAATGGCGTCAAAGGGCGCCGCCCCGTCGGTTCCCAAAACCTTGGACCGCGGACCACGGGCCTGATCCAGCAGCAGTCCCGCCCCGTCACCTCGACCATGGCGGGGGAGAGCTGACGAAGTATTGTCGATTACTCTACACACGTAGGTGTTGGGTAGATCGGTCTGCGCGGCCAACGCCGTATGAATGTGAAACGATGCAAGCTGCGGGTGAATTGTAGAAGCGGAGATGATTTCTTCCCATGCGTCACTCCTGGCCCGCGGCATGCGCTACCTTAGTATAAACCATCATGCCATCGCATCATCACGCCCGCATCCCGATGTCAGCGCCGCCCTGCCAGCCACAGACAACCTTATCGGACACCTTCTAGCGCAGCTCCCCAGCCGCGCCGTAAGGTGCACCAGGTTCACTCCTGGGGACAGACAAGAGCCCAAGACCCACGTCGGCGGAAGCTTGGCCACAATCGGTTGGTGAGCGTGGCTATCGCTTCTGCTTTCAGGCATTTGCGCATATGGACCGCGGACTTTGCGCCTGATCACTTTTATCCTACTACGCGATTCAACATGCTCGTTCGCGATAGCCCAAAAGGCTTCCTAACGAGCTTCCACTTACGTCACCCATCACGAAACGCCAAAGACGATCAGAGGGCACCGGTTTCACCTCCTGAGACACCTGAGTAGCCTGTCAGCGTAAAGCGACGTCATCGCTCATTTCCTAAGTAAGCACCGTGCGATGCACAGAGGTATTGAAAAAATAAAGCTGAGGCCGCCGCGGCACGGCCTTTTTTTTTTTGTTACCCTTAAGCTGCGCACGCCCCATTCTCACCTGTTCAACGTAAGGTTAAACATTGCGCTCGAAAGGAAGTATTGCGGGTCGACGCAGGGGGCAACTTTCGACCTACGCACACGACTGCTACTTTATTCGAACGCCCGGTGGACGGTTCCCGTGATTATTTTTTTTCAATATGAAATAAATGCGAGTTGAAAAGAAATCAACTTTCGTTTATTTTCAACGCTCTGTTGGTCATCGTTTGGATGTCGCATGGTGTGAGGACATACGACGTCATCCAAACTACTTTATAAGGTTGGGGGCCGCCGGGTATGCGTAGAAGACCCGATAACGAACTCATCAAGGCTTGTGTTGAGACCACAGCAATAAGTGAGAATGATGGGAGTAGCTGTTTGCAACTTAGCTCGTGCTCCTGCGATCGCATAAGCGACGCGATAGAGGCGGGCAGCCGGCCATTTCCTCCGCGGCGCGGAAGAAGCAGAAGGTTTCTCGATGCCCTGCATAGCTGAGCAATGCGTATGGGACTTTCCGCCCAACCAATGAGTACCCTAGCCCATGTTTCCTGTTGTGGGCAGCATGGCATTCGATAATTGCATGTAAAACAGCATGCATGTCAGTAGTACGACTTCTCAGCTAAGGGCGCCGATGCAAGGAAGACATTTAGTGGTGATTCCGATCAGCAATCTGCTGTGCAAGAATCTGTAACAATTAATGCCGATCTCTGGGATCTGCTGTGCCGAGCGTGCAGTGCTGCGGTTAATTGCCGTGTCACGAGATGGGATTTGTATTGATACTTCGTTACTTATATGCTGAGGTTAGTGACCACATGATACTTGGCTATACAAGCACCTATCGGAACATTGCAAATATCACCATCGGTACACCGTGAGTTACGAAAGAAGCTGGCTCATGTGAATCTCGCAAGGATAGTGGAGTCCTGTCCGGAAGCTTTTGTACATACGAATTTAATACTCGCATCTACATTTGGGTACCTGCTTCAATTCGTGAAGAAATGCCGATTAAACCTCCATCTTTGTCAGCATACTTGCTTCAAATTCCCTCACAAAGGATGGCCGTAGGTCGATTTCTTTCGTAATCCATTGTGAATGCTTGCGCATGACAGAACAATCGGGCCAAAGATAACGTGAGTTTGACCCAAGGCGTCGCCCGCGAAAATTCGGGCAAGTGGATACAATGAACCAGAGCCGCAGTCGAGTACTCACGATCTTCCCTTTCTGTTGTCGTTGAAGAAAAAAGCGCTTCAATGTCGGCACCATTCTTTGATGATGAGGGTGTATCAGAAGAGAAAAGAGAAAGGGAGGAGTGCCCTTTCTGGTTCGTTAAAGGGGGCCGGTTCCACACAGCGAGAATGTTGAGGATTGGTAGTTAACAGTTGGAGAGGTGTCAAAAAAAAACAAGGCCACGAGGCTATGCGCAAGTGTCCGGGTCCGAGCATTTGCCGTCCATTTCGGCATTTGAAGGGTCTACCGGACGGAATTTGGCGGTGGATGATCTCAAACGGTTCTGATGGCACAAGTGACAGTCGGACTTCCTAATGGAAAGCAGCGGATGCAACAGTGTGACGGGATTGGAATTTCAACCGTTTCCGAGCTCCGAGTGAGCTGCCGGTGTCTTATCCGCCAGTGAAGCGACGGCGGTGGGTGTCACAGGAATAAACAGCTGTTAGGCACGCAGCGACACGAAGAATGTGGATTCCGGCGGTGTCCTCATTGCTGTGTTCGGAAGAAAGGCCGGGTAGATTCTCAGGCGGCCGGAGTCAGCGTGACTGCGATTGGCAGGATGGGCGGTACCTATGACGACGCCTGATTACCGAGCACAGACATGGAAAAGTGAAGGAAGCGTTGGAAGGGCTTGGCTGACTCTCGACGGCGTGCAGATGCGGCTCCTACCGGCAAAAGCCTAATCGCGTGGCGCTCTGGCCCCGATCGTACCGACAGCCGCATCCATGGTGAAGAAAACCGAGGGCGCGAGTGCAGCCTTCGCCGGGCTGTCGCAGCGCATGGGCGGGGCGCCAATCTGCGTTTCACCATGGCCGAGCATTGGAGCCACAGAGCGGAGCCCCGGCGAACGCCCGCAGTGGGCCTGGGGACCGCCGTGGGCCTGGGGACCGCCGTGGGGAGAAATGTCGCAGTGGAGCGCCGGGGAAGGTGCGACTTCTCGATGCAGCGGTTGACGTATGGGCCCAGCTGTCGCCTGCCTGCCCGCCAATGGGAAGCCCACGGCCAATCGCTAAGGCTGTCGCTAACGGCCGATCAGCCTCAACGCCTCCCCTCCAGGCCCACCCTACAGGTGACGTCGTCAACAACCACCGCTGAACCAAGCTGCTTGGGACCCGAGCCCTCAATCCCGCCTGGGATCTCCTCCCCACGCTTCTCCGCCTGATGAATCGCCTGAAGAAGTGACGATGCCGCTGCCAACCTGCCAGCCTACAAAATGCGCCCGCCTTCCCGCACACTTGCGCTTCTCCAAAGCCCACCTCCCGCTGCCGAATCCTTTTTCTCGGCCGCACTGCTGTCTCGGATTTCGGAACCATCCCACCCAGGGCTGACTGTTGCCTGACCACCGCCATGGGCCTGCTCTCAAAATTTCGGCGTGAGCCGAATGCACCTTCCAACGCAAGCGCTCGACAGGACAACTCGCCCACCGATTTGGAATTCAACAAGGAACAGGATGGGCCTCTCCACATCTTCAACTGGAGGGTCATCTACATGGGCATCTTGGTCTCAATGGGAGGATTCGTACGGCTCCCCACACTCCTCCCTGCCAAACTCGGCGTTTTTGACTGACACTTCCCCAGATCTTTGGCTACGACACCGGTCAGATCTCCGGCTTCGTGGAGATGCCAGATTTCTTACACAGGTTTGCTGATTCGACTGACCCGGCCACTGGTGAACCCAAGTTCAGCAATGGCCGCTCTGGAACCATTGTTGGCTTAGTAAGCGAACCCCACCCAGCCTCCATGCTCCCTCAGTTGAATGCTAACATGTGAAAGCTTTCCATTGGAACCCTCCTTGGCGCGCTAATCGCTGCCCCCATTTCGGACAAGTTTGGACGCAAGTATTCCATCGTCTTTTGGAATCTTGTTTTCTGCGTCGGAGTCATCGTCCAGATCGTCACCACCTACACCTGGTACCAGATCGCCCTTGGCCGCTGGGTCGCTGGCCTCGGTGTCGGCGGCCTTTCCGTCTTGACTCCCATGTACCAGTCTGAGACTGCTCCGCGCCAAGTCCGCGGCGCTCTCGTCTCCGCCTACCAGCTCTTCATCACTCTTGGCATTTTTGTCGCCTACTGCATCAACTACGGCACCGAGGCCAAGGATAACGCCGACTCCTGGCGCATTCCCATGGGAGTCGGCTTCATCTGGCCCGCCATCATGGCCTTTGGCATGCTTCTGCTGCCCGAGTCTCCCCGCTGGCAGTACCGCCATGGTAAGGTCGACACCGCCCGTGCAACCATCGCCATGAGTTACGGTGTATCCCCGACCCACCCCATTGTCAACAACGAGATTCGTGAGATCAAGACGAAGCTCGACGCTGAGAATGCCGGTGGTGGCAAGCACCCTTGGTATGAAATCTTCACCGGACCCCGTATGGCCTACCGCACCATCTTGGGAATCACTCTGCAAGCCCTGCAACAGCTTACGGGCGCAAACTTCTTCTTCTACTATGGAACTACAATCTTCACTGCCACCGGTCTGTCAAACAGCTATGTCACGAGTATGATCCTTGGCGCTGTCAACTTTGGTTGCACATTCCCTGGTCTGTATTTCGTTGATCGGTTCGGCCGCCGGCCGTGCTTGATGGCAGGCGCTGCATGGATGTTCATGTGCTTCCTCGTAAGTTTCACGCCTTTGCTAGCCCATCTCTCTGCGGCCGCTAACCATGCTCCAGGTCTTCGCTAGTGTCGGCCACTTCGCCCTTGACCAGAACAACCCGACCAGCACACCCAAAGCCGGCAGCGCCATGATCGTGTTCGCCTGCCTCTTCATCGCCGCCTACGCCTCGACCTGGGGCCCGATGGTGTGGGCCGTCGTCGGCGAGATCTACCCGTCCCGCTACCGCGCCAAGTGCATGAGCATGGCCACGGCCAGCAACTGGGCCTGGAACTTCCTCATCTCCTTCTTCACCCCGTACATCACCGGCGCCATCGACTACCGCTACGGCTACGTCTTCGCCGGCTGCCTCTTCGCCGCCTTCTTCATCGTCTACTTCTTCCTCTGCGAGAGCCAGGGCCGCAGCCTCGAGGAGATCGACACCATGTACTGTTTTGGCGTCAAGGCGTGGAAGAGCAAGGACTGGCAGCCGCCGGAGGGCGAGGATCTGACCACCCTGGATAGCACGTACCTCACGCCCGGCGCGAGGGATATCAGGAAGCCTGGTGCTGAGCGAAGGGAGAATATTGGCGGAGAGGAGGTGGAGAAGAAGGATGTCTATCATCCCGAGACGCAGAACTAACGGCTTCAGAGTGCCTTGGTGTGATGATTCTGTGTCACTGTTGTGATATTTGTATAGGTTTATTAGTCTTTACAGGCGTTAACTCATTCCAGCAGGAGCAGGCATCCGGCATCTGGTTTGTCTCGCCCTGTATATATACCAGTCAGCAATATATTTAGCATTACTGTTCTCAAATACACGTCCGCATAACGGGTTGCAAAAAGTTTCGAAGCGTAGATTATCTAGAATTGGCATGCGACAGCATACTCTTAGTGTAAGAGAACGATGTGCCAGGGCTTTTCCTTTAGTCGAGAACGGAATAGGTGTGTCCTAAGGACCGTCTATGAGAAAAGCAAATTAAGCACCAAAATGAGCGTAGGGGCCCCAGTCCTGTACTCTACGAGACCCAAACTTCTTCCGGACTGCTAGAACAGCGTTCCTAACAGCCTCAGCAATGACTCTGTTCAAATCATCTGCATTCCGGTGCCGAACGACATTTTGATGGAAATGCTTGGCCATCTCAGCGCAAACCTCGTCGTTTGTAGACCATAGAGACCCAACAACATGGGGAAATCCAGCAACCTGGAATGAACTTGCAAGATGTAGACCTTCGTCTCCGAGATGGTCAACTTTGACCTCTGCTGTGGAGCACGCAGAGAGATACGCAAGCCACGAGGGGTTTTCGTCGATCGTTTCCAACAGTTCCGATACCGTGAGATCATCAACGACCAACTCGTTCGACTGGTCTGTCTTCTGAAAAAGAAGACGACTCATGGCTGGGTCTGTGGAATCTGAGTGTCCATGGCAGGCGAAGTGAACAATGTTGGGTTCTCTGATGCCATTCAGTATCTCTCGAGCCGAAGGACACTTCAGCGGAGGCTTCCACTCAATCTCATCCCTAGTAGCTTCTTCAATGTTGATCAACTCTTGCAAAACTCCGGGAAGGCTCGATCGGCCAGGTGTTGTTGGCATGACGACGGAGAGGAGCGACATGTTCCGTGAAACCCGATCTCTAATCTTCGCCGCTCTCGCTTGGGCATGACCAAGGGCTTTGATAGTAGTCGTGTAGGAAGAGATCACCTCATCGACGCATCCCTTGAAAACTCCATCAACGACTTTTCCTGCCGCATGGAACGGAAGTAAGCTGGCATCTCCTGAACCAATCCACCAAATCCGTCGGAGTTTTTGATGCGACGGGTCCTCTCTTTCCATCGCCTCAAGCACGGGGGAGACACAGGTCGTCCATAGCCACTCCATGGACTCTAAACCAAAAGACTGATCATCTTCGTCCGAGAGCTTAGCGTTACGCATCCATTCTTCTTGATCCACTTCCTTGTAGGGGTTGAGGTATTCCCAGAGGCCTCTATCCGTCTGAGCATCTGGACGGAGAGAAAATCGAGCTACCGTGGAGTTTGAACTGGCCAACTTCAACGGAATTGCCTTGATGGCTCCAGCTGACACGATGATGGCGTTGGAGCTAATATCCGTGATGTTGACCAGGACGATATGGCCGTTCGCACAAAATCTCTGGAAGTCATTTACTGTTGGCAGCCGAAGGAAATCCGCAAATCCTTCTCTTTCTCTGATTTCCTCTATTGTTGCGTCCAGCTCTGCTGCGCTGTTTTGTCGTTCCAGATGGAGACGTGCTCGAACAATCTGATCGTGTTCGTTGATCTGCCTGGAGACTACAGCGCTGAGGTACTTGTATCTGTCCGCAAGGGTTTTGTCTTTCTTTTCAAGCTTTGAGAGGTCTCTGCGCGCGTCTATGAGATGACCTAATATCAGGCCACGCCCATACTCAACTCTCTGAAGAGCTTCGAGGACGTTGCCATTCAACAAAGCAATTGAGCATGCATCGGCCGCCACTCTGGAGAGTGTTCGAAGAAGACTCTGATGATCAACCCTGTTCAGACTTCGATTGAAAACCATAGGTAGAAGATCGCAGGCTTCTTGATGAGGATATCTGCATGTTGAGAATCGTTTAGTGTGTTGGCTGCCAGTACCGCTCCGCGCCGCGCACTCGAAATTCGGAACAAAGGCGCTGCTTGAGGGAATTCGGTGACTCTTGTACAGTAATCGATGGCCTTCAAGAGATCTAAAGGGGTCCCAGACCTCTCGAACCGGTATTGATAAGCCATGGCTGCAATGCCCCAGATTTTGGCCATATCTGGATGGTCTTCTTCCATCAAATGGATTGCCATTTCGGAAAGCTCAATTGCTTCATCCAAGTCTGCAGAATTCTTTTCCCAGTAATATCTTCGCAACAAGATGTTTCCAAGCATGAACTCATGGCGACCGTTCCGACCACGAACTCCGAGAGGGACTTCGATGGCCTTTCGAAGGTGCGAAATGGCGGAATTGAGGTCCGAAATCGATTTTGTCGCAGTAAATCGCGACAGGAGTACTGACGCGAAGTTGTTGAGTACCGAAGGCATTCTCGAATCATCCGTTGGAAGGGATTGTACAGCATTGTCGTGGACCGCGACTGCTTGATCATTGTCGCTCATCTTTCCAGTCACGAAAAAGCGTTGTGAGAGAATGGAGCCCAAGTTCAAACGAGCGTCAAGACGGCTTTCCTCGGTCTGTCCCTCGATATCGGTGGCCTTTCTTGCCTCCACAGCAGCCATGTCCAGGTCGGCCGAATTGATTGTTGAAAGGTAGCGAACGAACAGAGCGGACGCGTAGGAGTTGAGCCATATCGCTCTGTCCCCTGGTCGAGTCCTAGATGTTGCATTCACAGCCTGGCGTGCTGCTTCCACTGATTCTTTTATGTCTTCGGCCTCGCCGTTGCGCTTGTGTCGTTTGAGCAAAACCCCGCCCAAGGTTTTCAGCCTCAACGACAGGGATGGGTCGCCCTCAGGAGTGCATTCAACCGCTTCTCGGGCATATGAAAGAGCATCATCCAGATCTCCCGGATCTCCTACGCGCTGGAATCGTCGCTCTAGCGCACCGGCAAGAGAACTGAACCACTTGGCTTGCTGAGGATGCCCGGCAGGCATCGTTGAGACGGCATTCATGGTCAAACGGATGGCTTCTTCCAAACCATGCGTTGGAGAAGGGTCTTGATCATAGCGACTGATCAGAAAAGATGCTCGGTAGTCTTCCCATTGTCGATTATAAGGATGATCTGCAGGCAAGCCAGACAATACCTCCCTTGCCTCGGGGAAAGCATTTTCGACTCGATTCACCAACTCGGCTCTGTCCGATGGCTGTGCGGATTCACATTGCCGTGAAAGGACTTTACAGCGCAGATTGAACCCAGCAGCTTCGTCGACAATCTCAGGCGGTGTGATACTTGTCAGCTTTTCGGACCAAGACATGGCCTGGGCTATGTCGGCGGTAGAATTTACCTGAAAACTTCGAGGGTTTGCTTCGTGCTTGAAATTACCAAGTCGATGTCTTCCAAGTCCCCCGTTCGTGAATACCGAGTGACCAGTATGTCTCCCAACTGTATGTGCAGAAGACTCAGCCGCGGGTCCTTAGGATCGATCTGGGCGAACGACTCCTGTATCAGCGCAACTTCCCTGCTCGCCGCGTCCGGCTCCCACGTCTCTTCGTGTCGTAAAAAGTTTCCTAAGCACTGAAAACAGTGCCAAATATGCGGGCCAGGAAACTCGGGTCCAAAAACAGCCTGCGTCAGACTGAGAGTGGCTTCAGACACCTGATCAACTTCATCGGCGTCTTTCGCAACCAATGCTTTGATCACGCTCTCGCCAAGGTGTCTATCAATCTCCACGAATTGGTTGAATTGACGCTGTATCTCCTCTCCACTAGAACGAGCTGGATTCGTGGGCGTATTCATGTCTGTACATACATATAAAGTAAATTTTCCGCGTTCGTAAAGTTGACGAGAAAGTAGGTAACTTACCCTCTGGATTCATAGCAAAATGCTGAATGACGAATGGGGAGAAGCCCTTTTGCGGATGTGAACTTCTTCTGTCGACACAACTGACCCCAGAAATGTCTTGAGAAGGTCTTTTTGACAAACTCCAGATGTCACTGTAAAGGTAAAATGAACTAGAGATCCCAGCCGCCGGCGCGGCTGGAGTGAAAGGGGGTCACGTGAAAGGAGGTATTCGGAAGAGTAGATAGAAAAGGTTGGTGTTGTTTTTGCTACCTCAAGGCTCAGCTTTCTGAAGCTATATAAGCATGCACGTATTTCTGGTGCAAAAATTCATTTCCGACAGCCGCGTTCTCTGAAGATACTTTTCGTCACTCAAAACAGATAACCGAGAGTCATATTTGCTTTGGATGGTGGCTTGCAGGAGTTGGCGCACCAATTGTTACATTGTAGAGCCAGGTCGCCTGACTTGATCTCACCCTTCCACAAAATTTCATAGTTAAAAAAATGCTTATCACGCTCTCCGATAGAATCTACTCCGTTAGTTTCATTTACGCACACTTTTTACCTGCAACTCTTTGTTCGACAGATTGCAAACTGCATGTAGGTAAAGATTTAGTGGGTCTGTCTGCAAACCCCAGCGAGACACTCGGAGCATCTGGGCTTACTACCGCAGGATCGTGGGGCTTGGGCACTCATGTACTCTCGGTTACGCAGACGAGGCGACCAGAGTAAGGTTCTTTGCCACTCTCAGCCGATATATGCTTAAGCAGGCAAGCCCAGGCTCAACACTGCAGGCCCTCGCTCGATGCGCTGCATAACCTGTGCTTACGTGCAGATAGAGCCACATACAACCACAACAAGGTCTATGCGATCATCAGCCGATATAACCCAGATATGACGGTTGACGGAAGCCTATCGGCAAGGGGGTGCGACAAATTAATTAATCTCGGAATAATCAACGCTTGTATGTACGTACGGATATAGAAAGTAGTACATACATTCCCGATGCCAGCACTACCGTAGTGGAGCTCCGTGGCCCGACAATGCAGCAGCTGACACGCACTACTGAAGCCTTGGTTCATCGCCACGTATGTATGCAAGTGAAAGAGAGCCGACAAAAAACAATCCTCAGCCAGCCCTGCACTCCTATGTTGCAAACCGAACCTTCGCCGGGACAGCCATGGCGTCAACCTTCATCCTGACCAGTTCCCCTTTTCTCCCCAGCCAGATAGCCCTGGCAAGCTTTGTTCCCGACATAAGCCAGCCCCACAAAGACGCCAAGCGCCCTTACACCGTTTCCTGATCCGACTACTCCATCCAGCCTGATCGAGCCTTTGAAGGTCTCGTCACTACTTCGTCGGAGAGCCTGCTGAAAGTTCTGACTACACGATTAGCAGGCATCTTGCTGCGCCGCGAATCGGGCGATAGCTTTAGAGTAGTGGCCAAGGCAGGCAACATATACTCGCTCAACAGCCCAGCCGAACTCTTCTCTTCCATCTTGGCCGATGACAAGACTGGCAACTACATCAGGGCATGCCTTTGAAGGATGGAAGCCAAGTAGACTCTCTGAAATGCACCGTCATCAGCAGCTGCCAATGCAACCAGAAAGCGGGAGAGTGGGTGTTTGATGAGAGTGGAATGAGAGGGATACTCACTCACTGGATGCTGGACCTACTTCTCAATAAGCGTATCCAACAACGTCCCACGTATACGCGAGTTTCGCAATACGTTACAGCAAAGATTCGACACGGCATGACATGGGTACCCCCGCAAACGCCAGTCGTTCATGGTGACGGTCTCTACGAGTTCTTCGGACACCGAGAAATGGTTCAGAAGCCCGCCAGCATTGTCACAGTGTTGAGTTGGCAGAAAGATACTCCGCCGACCTATGAGATCGACATTGGGGCCGCACAAGGGGTGGAAGTTGGAGCCATCTACGCCGTGTACTCAGCTTGTCCAAGGGCATCGCTTCGAGGCCAGGGCGAAAACGAGACTGCATTCCTCGCACGGATTTGCATCACGGAGAAACGCATGTTCCGTTCAACTGGAAAGCTTCTTGAAGGCAACGCGACAGGCATCAAAAAGGGCGATTTCGCCGTCATAGAGGCTTGGGCCCTTCCGCCACCGACGCCTATCGTCAGGCTCCTACCTGCCGCTAGAAGCCCAGACGTAAGGGCGGAACTAGAACGAGCCCTCAAAGGAACCCTTCTCCTCAACTTGCCCAACCAAGATCCAGTCAACTGCAAATTCACCGTGTCAGTCAGCAAGGCGGATATCGAGATCCGTAATGGCCGGAATATCCGGCTGAATCGCATACCGAAGATAGCCGCTGACGACCCCGAGAGATCGAATAAAGCCGCACACATCCTAGAACACCTGGCACGATTTCACTCTACTCTCTGAAGGATCTTCTCTATACTCAGCCCTCGGAGAATCTCCCATCAGCAGACAGGTTTGTCTTCAAGCCTCTCGAAAAAGACGGCGTGGAAACTAAGGCAGCTGGATAAGAATCCCCTTCTTTATTCAGCAAGAGACAATGAAACGGTGAAGGTTCGGTTCTTCAACAACAGTAGGTACGATGTCCATGTGGCCATATTCTTGTTCAGTGCATCGTGGGGGATTGAGAAGTTCTTTCGGACACGTGAACAACCTATGGCTCTTGTGCGCTCCGGGCAAGGTCAAGCCTTCAGGGTGGACATGATACTTCCAGAAAAGACCAACGAGGAGGACTCGAACGCGGCTGACGACCTCTATCGAGCCTATGTGTATATCGGGGAGAAGCCACCTTCATGGGATGAGCTAAGCCTGCCAGACATTCCCAAGGATTCGAGCAGAATTGCAGCGGAAGGACCCGCGGCAGGCGTGGAACCTGTATGTCATGACGGCACCAAGCCAGATCCTTTTTCGCGAGGTGGACGCGCCCATCCGGATAGCTCCGAGGACGAACAAGTCATTGTAGAGTGGACGGTAGTGGATTTCCGAATTCGGATTGATGCTTCCTAACCTTGATGGGTGCTTCTCTAAGTGTTTTTCGGTAATATGTTGTGCTAAAATATATTAAACCTATAGATAATTTATCCAGCGTTTCTTTATGTGTATAAAGGTTTTTAAGTATTCTACATCGCGACCCGCAGTGGTATGGCTTGGCTACGCGGCTATAGGTGGGCTCTCGTCGACACTGATCGGCAAGTCGATCCGGTTGTCCCGTTTAGGCGGAGCGCTCCGCAGCCGACGTTTCGAAGGGGAGGAGCTCGTGCCGGGCGTTGCCATTTCCGCCAATCATGCGAAACATGTCCCGTTGTTTCATGCTCTCGCCTATACGGCCCCGTCCATGCACTCTATCATAAACGAACACACGTAGACAATCCCTTTAATTTTGCCGTGGCTCGTCGAGACTGGAGAGTGCCCTTATAAGAGTGCCGGCCTCTTGTCCGCTCGCTTTGGGTCTGTCCGTGTATAGGGTACGTTTACTGTAAATATTATACTTCTATAGTCATGATGCGGTCTTTCACTCAAGCTCTGCCGCTGGCGGCAACTCTTTTCCTTTCCAGCACGGCTCCGGTCAACGCCCAGACCGATGACACCAAGTACCTGCTGGTCTTGTAAAGCTCCCCCCTTTCCCACCTCGACCACAACCCACGGCTGACCATCGACACCAACAGCGGTGACTCGTACTCGACCGTCGGCTACTGGCCGCAGGGCACCGCGCCCTCGGCCAGCAGCCCGCTCGGCAGCGTCGCGCTGCCGGGCTCCACCACCAGCGGCGGCCTCAACTGGGTGGGCCAGGTGACGTCCAAGCTCAACACCAGCCTGACCCTGACCTACGACTTCGCCGTCTCGGGCGCCACCACCGACAAGGACATCGTCGACAGCTACGCCAGCTCCTGCGTCGACGACCAGGTCGACCAGTACGGCCAGTACGTCAACGGCACCATCCCCGCCGCCGACACCCTCGCCGTCTTCTGGACCGGCATCAACGACGTCGGCGAGTCGTTCTGGGACGGCACCACCGCCCCCATCGCCAAGGTCATGGACCGCTACGTCGAGCTGCTGGAGACGCTGTACGACTCGGGCCTGCAGAAATTCGTGCTCTTCACCGTGCCTCGTACGTCGTCTTCCCTCCCCCCCCTCGCATCAAACC